CTGCTCCCCTCAGCAGTGTATTTCAGTCAATCTGCCTGTTCTGTTCCCCACTCTGTCTCTGGTGAATCATCTCACCCCCACATCTCTGGCCTGTACACCAGCACTTGTATAAGTAAAATAAATCTTTAAAAAAAAAAAAAGAAGATACTGTGGGGTACCAGGCACACACACCAAGGAAAGGCCAGCCACCTGTAAGCCAGGAAGTGGGACTGTTCGGGGTGGTCCCCAAGGAAAGGGGAGATTCCAGGTTTTCTGCCCCATCCAAGGAAGGGAGGAGCTGAGCAGGGAGAAGGAGAAGCTGGAGAAAAGACTGGAAGAAGGAAAGGAGAAGGATAGTGGAGACCAAGAAGAAAGATCTGGAGGAGGCACATGGAGCAGAGAGACATGTGAAGAAGCTGCACTTGCTTCTCAGCCTTGGGCTTGTACCAGGAACTGGGGGATGTGGAAGGAGACACTTGCAACAGACGTAGGTGAGAGAGCTGTGGGGAGGTTGACAAAGGCAGTGTTTATCTTGATCTTTTTTTTTTTTTTTTAAGATTTATTTATTTATTTATTTATACAAGCACTGGGTACAGTCAGAAGTGTGGGAGGGTGAGAGAATTCACCAGAGCCAGAGAGGGGAGCAGAGCAGGCAGAAGAATGGAAGTACACTGCTGAGGCGAGCAGTGGGTGCCATGCGGGACCCTCCTCCTGTGGCTGGGGAGCAGCCAGGGATTGAACTGGCGCTGCAGAGGCTGCAGGCAGGTTCGCAACCCAGCGCTCAACTGCTGCGCCACAGGGAGGCCCTATCTTGATCTTGATTTTGCTCTTTTCCTTCCTTTTCTGGCCCCTCTGCCCCTTTCCTATGGGTCCCCACCAGAAGGTGCCTTAGACTTTTGGTGAGCTTAGTGGTCCTGTTTTGGGCCAACCCTGTTTGGCTGGGTATTTACCCATGAGGGAATGGGTACCTTTGGGTGCTTGATTTGGAAACCATTAATATATTCTTTGTTTTTCCCTATTCACCTCTTTATTGCACGTGAATTGCATTCAAGTTCCTTTCCATAAAAGGTTTTAAGCACTAGAGTGTGTTTTATCTTCATGTGGTCAATAGCAGAACTTACTTAGAGCACGCAGGTTTGGGGGTTCTGGGGGTCCCTCATGCTGATAACAGGTCCTGATAACAGGATCTCATCAGGAACTAAGCATTCTGACAAACCGATCTCAGACTTCCAGGCTCGAAAACTATTAGGAAGAAATTTCTATTGTATAGTTCACACCTGGGATAAGTTCTGAGAAATGTGTCACTGGGAGATGTTATTGTGTGACTGTCATTGAGTGTAACTACACAGACCTAGATGGGATAGCCTATTACACAACTAGGTTATATACGTGACCACAGTCGAGTAGGAGATCAAAATGCCGTTAAGTAGAGCAGGACTGTACTTTGTTATGGCAGCCTGGGCTGATAGAGACAGCATATAATTTCGGCTTTGTACATTGGGGATAAACAAAGTCCTTGTTCCTTATGGTGTTGACAGTCTGGTGGGAAAGAATGGGAAGCATGAAATGAATAACCCACAGAGGATACACACAGAGAGACACACACACATGCACACGCACACACACACACACATATATATAGTAGCATATATATATAGCTACTAATTATGAAAGGGAGTAACGTGGTCTCACTTAGGCCAAAGGAGAGGTGGGGGGGGACTTCCTGAGGATGTGACCCTCATCCTGAGCCCTGATGGATGAGTCAAGAGGAACCAGGTCTAAGAGCAGAGGAGTGAGTGAAGCTTGGGAAGGGCATGTGTGCAAATTTTGGATGACAAAGGACTTGTTGAGAAGCTGACAAGATACAAATGTCACCAGAGGGGGAGTGTGACGCAACTGAGGAGCTCATAGGTCTAAGGGTTTAAGTGGGAAAGTGAAATTTTCCAATTTGCGTGTCTAAACTGTTGTGAGAATCAGATTGGAGGGATGTCAAGTGGAACAAGAGAGGCCCATTCTGAGGACTGATGTAGTCATCCTGGGTGAAGTAATCCCGAGCAAGGGGTGGAAATAGAGGGAAGTGGCTGTAGTGGAGAGGCTAGTGGGGAAGGAGGGGTCACAGAAGACAGGTCATAGACAAAACTGGGAGGAAAAGGATGAGTTTCTGGACAAAGCTGGTGGGAAGTTGCAAACATTTGGACTTGTAGTATGGGAGATAGATCCAGCCTTTGCAGAAAAGCGTTAACACAGCTGGTCTGACTTGCTGTTCTTAGAAAGGCCTTTTTGAGAGGTTGGTGTTAGGGAACTTGGCTCTCAGAGTGTCCCCAGTCAACAGTTGACTGATAAGGGTGGTTCTCAGTGGCCAGACTGTTTGCGCAAACAATATGACTTACCCGGAACACCTGCTTTTCTTATGGGAGTCTGGGATTTGGGTATGTGCTAGGGAGAGGGTGCCCACATGTCCAGCCTCCAATTAAGATGTACAGCACTAAGTCTCTAATGGGCTTCCCTGGAAGAAACATCATATACATCATACACATATTTCTGGGGAAAGAGTAAGCTCTGTGTGAATCCCCTTCCCCTCTAAGAGGAAAAGAACAGAAGGAAGGCTCACATGGATTCCCCTAGACTTTACCTCTGTGTCTTTGTCCTTTATGATTGCTGTATATCTTTCCTAGGAGTTATATATCTTACTCAGGAGGACAACTACATGCTGAGTATTGTGATTTCTTCTAGTGAGTTTCTGAATGATGGGGCATCTTGGGGGACACTGACACAGCCCCATTAAATTTAAATCTGGGAGTGATCAGTGAAACCATGGGAGCACATGCAATCGCCCAGGAAGAGTGAATAGAACCCTGAAGATCTCTGCCACTTCAGGGTGATGAGGGGGACAGGAGCTACAATGGAGGGCCTGACTCAGGCAGTGAGAGAGGAATGTCTGCTATACTCAGCACAAGGACATTGAATGACCTTGCCCAGTCCCCGTGGGCAGTTGAGGAAGAGGTTGGCTTGTAGGGGGGTGAGCAGGGGAGCAATTCTCTTCAGTGTGACAGTGAAAGAAGCAGTGAGGAGGCCACAGGAGGTTTAAATGTCCTGTTTCTAAGCTGGAAAAGAGAATGATTGATCGCTGCTTTCTCCTGTGTGGAGTGCCCACTATATGATAGGCTTTTAGGTCAGAGGAGAGGGAAGCAAGCAAACACAAGGTGTAGTGCGGGCCTCACAAAGAGTGTGGCCCAGCAGTGAGGACAGGAAGGAACTATCAGTGTGTGAAGTATTTGAAAAATAAAGCACACTGTGCCTTGGGATGTTTAACCCAACCTGAGGGTTTCTTTGATAAAGTGACCTTGAATCTGGGACTTGACCAATAAGTAGGAGTTAATTGAAATGGGGAGTGGTGACAAGGGAATGAAGGGCATTATGTCTAGAGAGAGAAAAGAGTACTTACTTTGGAGGAACATCAGAGCTTAGGGAGCAGGAAGGAGCGTGAAGAGATGTGGATGCAAAATGGTGGCTGTGAGATGAGGCAACACTTAAAGACCCCAAGGGAAGGAGCCAGCAGAGAGGGAGAAGCCACATCTACAAGTAGGGTTGTCGTGGCTGAGGCCCTTGAGAAGGGGGCGCTAGTATCTAGAAGGGATTAACTCTGATAGTTGAAACAGATGTCATTATGTAGCACAAAGAAGAGGATCGATTTTTAAAGTGCTTTCTTTGCCCTTGTGTGCATGGATGGCAGGACCCTTTTAGAATGTGCCCTATAAGAGTTTGGGGTCCCTGGTACCCCTCAGTTGCATGGTTACAGATTCATGACTATAATTTGACCTGCTAACAATGAGATGTTCCTTTTTCTCCTTTCATCACAGGAGATGCAGATTTGGGGTCTATTTAGTAGTGGGAGGTAAAGTCATCTTCTTATAGTAAGGGAAAATGTGGCAGAACTCTGAATTTGAGGAGAGTAGAGAAAGCCTGAAGTAACTTCACAGAAAATAGTGTGACAGTGACAGAAGCAGAGAGGAAGCCACAGGAGGTTTAAATGTCCTGTTTCTAAGCTGGAAAAGTCTGATTGCTGCTTTCTTCTGTGGGATGCCTGCTTGGTTTGCTGGCCAGAATTTCCCCTAAAGACAATAAAAAGTAAAAAGTCAAAATCAACAAGCAACTATAAACCAGAGACATACTACAGTGGGGGAGAAGGGAGTAGGATCAAAACAAGGGTGGTGGGAATTTTATGGGGACTATAACCAAGATGAAAATGCATACATTGTACAAAAATGAAAAATGATATAAAATATATAAAATAAAAAAATTTTTTACATGAAAACAATGTCTAATTAAAAAAAAAGTTAAATTCTTACAGCATATCTCCAGTCATAGAAACATCACCAAACTTCTAACTAAAGACCAAAACACTTCTAGAATTAAAAAAAAAGTGGCACCAGCGTGCTAAGAGCTGCACGTGTGCTCTGATAATAAGGCAGAGAGGTGAATGGTCTGGAACATGGTTCTGCTTTGTTAAGTGCTATGGAAAGACAATGGGACAATATTGGGGAGAATGAGGTTGGAGTAATGGAAGTGGATTTAGTACAGGGAAAGAGGAGTAGAGGCAGGAGAAATAGAGGAGAAATGTGGGGGTGGGCAGAGGAAGGTCAGCAAGTTGCAGTGAGGGCAGAGGATATGCACATGTATGACTGCTGAGGTGGAGAAGTTCTGAGTAATAAGCAAGTTCAAGATGTGGCCTCAGAAGGGCTCACACTGACTCTTGTCACCAGGATCCTCTCTTTGACCCAGTGTCCTCGTGGCTTTTCCTCTCCTTTAGTACCTCCCGTCACAGCTTTCCTTTCCTATTCCTACTCCCTGGTCCAGCAAGAGGAACTCACAGCATCTTTTCTAACTTCCGGAGAAATTTCTTCCACGTGTGTCTGATTCATTTGCGTTTACAGAAACTTGAAATCTCCAGTGTCCAAAACTCCTTTCAACTATTATTTTTCTTCTCTTTCTTAGAAACAGGAAGTTGTGTTTGGCAGAGGATAAACTCTTCCAGTGCCCCCGGGACTTCCAAGATGTTTGGAATGAGGAACAGTGAGATCTGGGAGAAGGTTTCTTTACTCTCTCCTTTCCTGGGCCAATCGTGTATCTGCCAATCATGGACTGCCATGGTGATGGACTGGTCAGAACTTCAGTTTCTTTTGCTGAACCCAAGCCTGAGGGAAAGTATGTTCTAGAAGAGACAGGTGCCATTGAAGTTTCCACTGTTTCTCTCTCCATGCATTAGCCTTATAGCTCAGAATGCAGCTGTATGTTGGGTTTCATCTTTTCCTTCCTAGTATTTATTTGAACAGTGTCTGTGAGGAACCCTTTTATATAGGTTTTTGGGTGTGTGGGCTGGTACTCAATTTTAAGAAGTAAGGCCGACTACTTCCTGAGCAGAATCTCAGAGAAACTGAAGAAGAATGAAGCAAGCTGTAAAGAGGCTCACATATTTTGATTAAGTCTGGCCAGGTAGCTGGGAACTGTTAACCTAGAAAGCAGATGGGTGCCTAGGGAGGGTTGGCAGGGTGCCAGGGAGCCAGGGAATGCATGGAGGTTACAAGCCAACTGCTCTGCCCGCTCAGTCCTTCTCCTTTTAGTTCCCCTCACTGTGTTATTTTGTCCTGTTTAGAATTTTTTCATATGTAAGGTCGATAGGACCATCGTATGTCATGTTAGTGATTATTGAGACTGAATCCACAAAAATGTCAGACTAGATGGATGACTTCTTTCTCTTTCACATTCCATGTGCAACTTTTTCAATGCTGCAGGCTCAGCCAGAGCACCACGGGAAAACATGCTGTGTGCTGCAAGAGAGCCTTTCGCAAAGACATCTGTCCTTCAGCTGAGGGCCACCAATGGCAAGGAGAGCCCTGTTTGCTTCTCAGCTGGGTGTGCTGCTACACGACTCCCATCCTCAGCTCCTCATCCTAGCCAATAGGCTATGCCTGCTCATTTTGAGGGCAATCATTTGGGTGGAGTTAGAGGTGGGGAACACTGGGTGGGAGACTCTTGTCTTCATCAAGGGAATTCCCTCTTGCTCTGCACAGAGCTGAGGGGGCTGGAGCACAGGTGTCAGCATGGTAACTTTGCCTTGCCTAAAATCTGCCTTCACTGTCTTTGTTGTGCTCACTCACCTAACGGCCTCATTTTGGCCATGTATTCAGTAATTTAGCATCACAGCCAGAGGGAGTGCTGAGGCTGCTGGGTCAGAACGCTGTAAGCCCTAGGATTATGCTGCATTTGGTTCATAGGTAAATTCCACATTTCCTTCCACTCTTATAGACAAACCACCTCTAATCCCAAACTGAAAGGGGACATGGTGGCTTCCTCAGGGGTCTGGGACCTGAGGTAGAGGGTGTGTGGGAGAAGCGGCTATGGGCTCGGGAGTCTCTTCCCACAACCGGTGGATACTCAGATGCAGAAGTAAGTCTGGGCTTTGTGAAGAACTGGTATGTGGCAGCAATGCCGCCTTCTCACTTTACAGACTCAAGAATGCAGTAGTGACAAAGCCTCTTTCTTTATTGGCCCTGGAGCACAAATCAAAAATATCAAGAGAAAGCAGAAGTCAGTATACTCTTAAGAACATTTCTGTGATTCTTATGTTTTGTTTGTTTGTTTGTTTGTTTTTTGTGGGGAAGGAGATGGAAAAAAGTGAAGAGGACTACAGAGAAAAATAAGAACTACACATTTGGACTTGAGAAAGGAGGGGGCATCATCATTAAGAGGACCCACTTGGTTAAAAAGTCCAGAGTGAAGGATCTAGAAACTAGTGGACATCATCAGAGACTAAGATATGGATCTAACGAGAAGGTGGGCCCATCATCCCTGGAAAAGATTCCTGGGGTGGTGTGCGAAAGCGGATCATAACGTTGCATACTTTTATAAATTCACCACCCCTTCTGGTCAGCTACTGGGGAATAAAGGACAGAGAGGATACCCAGGTAAGGATTCCATTATCTTAAGAATAAAAGGCTGGATATAAACATTGATGCTAATGTACCACTTTTGAAATACTTCTGGCAGGTGCTGGAAGGTAATGACCATGTTACCTGCCAAGATCGAGCCATTAGGAATCCTATCAGGAAGCACCAATATTTAGTGGTTGTGGGAGCACTAGCTGGAAAATGCAAGCTCACAGCAGAGAAGATGCAGTTTTCCCTTCTCTGGAATAAAAGGGTGGTCATGGTTGGCCAGGGAAAATAGTGCTCTGGTCTCTCTCTGCAGATCTGTTTTCTGAGTCCCTGAGCTGCAGCTGTTGAATTCCCAGACACAAACAAGTATGTATTCTGTGAGCCTTGCCGAGCCCACACAGCAAGGAAGAGCCAAGCTGGATTCCATTCTGCTTTGCACATCAGTGACTCCACTGCCAGCTGAACTCCAGGGCATATGCTGTGGCTGGTAATGATGCAGGCAGCAGGGATGCCGCAGCTGGACTGGCAGGGACAGTTAATGAGGGACACACTTGGCCTTGATTATTTTTGGGAGAATGAAAACGGAAGGAGATGAAGAATTGCAGAAAGATACTTTAGCCTCTACAACGCTGGGGTGCAGCAAGGAAAGCTCTGGTTTTACTAGTCATCATCAACATGCTTTGTTGTTTAGGTAAGCCTGGCCTCCCACTCACTAAAGAGTCAGCAGACCAGGGAAAGGGGTCAACTCTGTGTCCAAGCCACTGTGGTGTAGAGTTTTGTGCGCCATGTACAGGGTATGGCAGGCACTGAAATCTCATTTGCTTTGCCTTGTGCCCCAAGGGCCTGAGTCTTCCCCGAGGGCACCCTTTTTCTCCTTCACCCAAAGGCTCCATAGAACCTCCTCTCTGCTCCTGTCACCATATATTTGAAGGGTCTTGGGAGAAAGCTAAAGGGAAGGACAAAGACATCAAAAGTGATGGAAAAGCAGAAGACGCAGACTTAGATATTTTGTTCCTTTTACTAGAGGGTCATTTATTGATGTCTGTTTCTTATCACCCACTTATGCCCAAGGACTAAGTTCCCCCTACACTAGACCCTGTGTAGGACCAACTCAGATCTGTCCTCTGAGCCAGGAAGCAGCAGGAAGTTACGTGGGGGAATAGGGTATCTGAGAGGTTTGCAGGGAGGTTTCAGGCACCTGTGGGGATGCTCTTCTTAGCAAAAGGACTGACTGGGACTGTTACAAGGTGCTTGGGCCAAAGAATTGTGGGTTGGGGGTGAAATTTGATGTGGAGAGCAGGAGCCGAAGCCATTGGGATGATGTCCCCTAGATACAGGTTTAGAATTCCTTAGATCCTAAGAGAATCCTGTGCCCCCAGCTAGTATGTAAGTGTGAGGATGGGGATGTGTGCAAAGAGTAAGGGGAGAGCCTTTCTCAAAAGAATAATAAGTCCAGCGTTATCACATAACTGCTGTCACCTCCGAATTGGAAGTTTCCATTGGAGTAGTAGTACTCAGAACGTGGTCTCCAACCCAGCAGCCCCCACAGTATCTGGAAACTTGTTAAAAATGCAAATTATCAGTCCCCCCATTCATGACCCATTGAAGAAGAAACTTTTGGGGTGGGGCCCAGCAGCCTGCACTTTAAGGATATCCCAAATATACTTAAGGTAGCTTCTGGAATATCCTAAAGCCCATTGATATTTGAGACCCACTGGTCTCGATTTTGCAGGTGGAGGGTTGTCCCAGTGAATTGGGTTCAGCAGCCTCATTCCAGGATGAGGACCCAGAAGGAGGCCAGGAGGGACTCAGAACTGCAGGTTTGCCTGTGTGAGGTCAAGGTGCACTGACCTAGGTGGGTCTCTGTGGGCTTTGGGTCCCCTGCCCTTTCCAAAGAAATAGTAAACCAGAGCAGACCACTACAATGGCATAAGATCATACTTTAGTTTAGAGACACATTTGCATAAATACTTGAAATGATCAACCCCTGCAGGTAGAAGCATGACAATAGGTGGCTTCCATAGTCCTGCAACTCTGCAGCCCTTTAGATGCTGGGTTTTAATACTAAAGTCAGCCACGGTCATTCCTGAAGACAGCTCGGGAGCTTAACTGTACAGCTTGCTTTGACATTCACCATTCACTCCCCAGCCCCACCCCTCTCTTTTACTAAATCTTTCCCCTCTGAGGTAGATTATTTATCGGGGAAATCAAATAGAAAATGTTTTTCATTTGGGTTTGCTAGTCCTTTGCAAATGGGCTGATTGAATCTCCCATTTGGGTCAATAAGTGCACATTTTTATCTTTTAACCTATGTCCTCTACTTGAACAAGGTCCGCTCCACAAGGTTTAGACTCTGTTGTCTCCATCCTCTTCTCCCTCTTATGAATTCATGCCAAACTGGAGGGGCTGTGGCAATGGGAGGCCTGGACAGGCCAGCCCATGCCACCTCTCTACATAGGGTCACCGTAATGGGGACCCTCGTCTGCACCCCGAGTCCATGAGCACAAGTCTGGCCCCGGCTCCCCTGAATCACAGGGGGCACAGCTGGTTTTCGCAGGGCTTGGCATCCTCAGGTTTCAGAGCCTTGTTGCAGGTGGCTGAGGCCTGGCCTGACAGGTCGCGACACTCCACTGTCCTCCGTTGCCAGCCAGCACCACAGCTGCTCGAGCACTCGGACCAGTCCCCCAGGACCCACCGCGCATTGAGCAGGGGCTGGATGACGTTAGTGGTTGCTCTTTCTTTGCTGTTCTGTATGCTGAAGTTCACCTCATTAGGAACAAAAAAGGTATATTTGACTTTGGGGGGAAAGACCTCACCAGGGACGGTCAGGAGCTGCACGGTCAGAGGCTCAGGCAGGGGCCGGAAGCTCTGAAGCCGCTCCAGGGTGGCAATGGAACCACTGTACTTGAGGATGGTCCCTTTCACCAAGATGTCCTGTTCTATGGCCGAGATGGCCAGGTTTCCATTGAGCAGGTACTGCCCATCAGCCGTCTTCAGGGCCAGGTAGTTGCCATCATTCTGGACCCCCGAGGGACTCCGCTGTTTCACATCAATATTAGTGGCACCAGCTGGGATGGTGACGATGTCATTGTAGCCATAACTATGACAGGAAGGAGAGACATCCTTAAGACCCAGCTCAGGACCTCAGGGAGTAAGCATGCAGGTGATTAGGACTGGGAAGACAAAACCCACTAACAAATAACTCAGCAGTTGTCCCAAAGTTCTAAATAAATTAGCTGCCGAGGCTGACAGGAATGTTTGTATGTTGAGATTTTCAAGGACTTTGCTTTGCCTGGCAACTCTCTTAGAAATGTTAGTATTTTTTTAAAGATTTATTTATGTATGCATACAAGAACTGGGGTACAGGCCAGAGGTATTGGGGGGGGGTAAGAGGATGCACCAGAGACAGAGTGGGGAACAGAACAGGAGGATGTACTGAAATACACTGCTGAGGAGAGCAGCGGGCTAGTCAGGAGAGGTCTGCTGTGCCATGTGGGTAGCTCCCTGGCTGGGGATAGCTTCATAGGTTGCGTCTTAACCCCTTGTGCCACCAGGAAGGCCCAGAAATGTTAGTATCGAGAAGTTTAGATGTGTGGGTCGTGACTAGCACAGAGGGATAGGCAGCCCAGAAAAGCCACCGGGGGCTGTCAAATCTGCTGCTTTGGCTCAGGTGAGATGGCACATACAGGTAGCTCACTGCACTGGTATAATAACTTGGTGTGGCCACTTTCTGACCCAAAGCTCAAACCCAAGTGGAAAAGTCTGCCCCACATACCCTGTTCTACCCATCCGGAGGGACGCCTCATCCCACTGGTTAGAGATGACCAGCTCCGAGGATGGGCTAATATGGTCCTAATCAGAATCAGGGTATAAATATCTGCCTCTGAGAAGCCTCCTTTTGGGTGTGCTCAGACATTAGGGCCACGTACTTCCACAGGCTAGGATGCTGTTTTGGAAAAATGATTCTGTTCTATTGTAGGTTTAGGGCTTCTGTGAGATAGAGACACTACTTTGTTCTGTTCTTTTCTTCTGGAGTAAAAGTATCTGGGTTATAGAGCCTGGGAGAAAGTGAAGGGATTTGAGGAAGACAACCACCTGGTTCTTGGCCTAGCCATTTCTTCGGGGGCAGCTGTTAGAGAATTCATGAGCCCACATGCTTAGTGCCCCAGAGAAAGCAGGCAGAGGGACTCAGCAGCTGAATCGCCCATGTTCCATGCTTCTTTTGTTTATCTCCTTTGAGTTTAAATTTGAGAAGACTCTCTGCTGTGGGCTGACTGGTTCTCTGAGCCAGCTGGGGTAAGGAGACAGAGGACTGCAGTGTGGCAGAGAATACCTGCCTTGCCCTTCCTCCTCAGGAAGTACATGCAACAGTAGGAAGAAAACTGTCCAGGAACTTAGACATGTGGCTTCTCCTCCTGGCTGCCAACATCAGCGTGACCCTTAGCAGAGTCATGGAATCTATTTGTGCCACAGAAGTGGAAGCAAATATTAGGAACTTTATGAACAGGGGCATTAAGAGGTGAGAAAGTGTCTGAAGTTCTCAGATTCATGAAAGCAGTGAGGTGACTGAGTCTCCCCCATTTTTCTACCCTCTTTTTTGAACATCCACCTGCAGAAAGGACTCAGCAGCTGCAGGGTGAGATATCCTTCCCCAAATAGGCCTGGAAGAGTCAAGCTTACTCAGCGGAGCACTATTGCTAATTGACTCAGCGATGAAACATCCTGACCCATGTGAGTTCTGGCTGCCTGGAGTGCTGTCCTCTCCATGGGCCAGACCCTGAGCCAAGAGCTCTGCCTGTGCCCTCTCTCAAGGATCCAGGGTAGGCAAGATTGCCAATTTTTTACAAGAACTGAAGCTCAGGGGGCCACCCTAATGGCCTAGGAGTTTAGTCTCAGCACTATCACCTTGATGGCCTGAGTTCAATCCCCAGCCAGGGGGCTAACCCACATGGCTCAGTGAACCGCTACTATCTCTCCTGCTGCTCCCCTCAGCAGTGCATTTCAGTAAATCTGCCTGTTCTGGTCCCTACTCTGTCTCTGGTGAAACCTCTCACCCCCTGCACCTCCTGTTTGCCCCCCAGTTCTATGCAAAAATAAATAAAATC